GGTGATCCTATCTATAACTTTAGTTGTCTAATCACTTCATAATGTCATCTAGTAGGGCTGATGTGTTGAAATGAGCTTTTATTATTCATCACTTCCTTCAACAACTGTATTCTGAGTACTCACTATATGCCCACACTAGGTACTACAACAGTAAGCAAGTGAGACAAAATTCCTGCCCTCATGGAGCTTATATTTGAGTGGGGAGAAATGATAAAAAATCAATATGGGCTGGGCGCGGTGGCTCATGCCTGTAATCCTAGCACTCAGGGAGGCCAAGGCGGGAGGACCACTTTAGGTCAGGAGTTCGAGACCAGCCTCAACAAGAGGGAGACCCCCATCTCTACTAAAAATAGAAAGAAATTAGCCAGACAACTAAAAATAGAAAAAATTAGCCGGGCATGGTGGTGCAGGCCTGTAGTCTCAGCCACTCGGAGGCTGAGGCAGGAGGATGACTTGAGCCCAGGGGTTTGAGGTTACTGTGAGCTAGGCTGACGCCATGGCACTGGTACCATAGCCCAGGTGACAGAGCCAGACTCTGTCTCAAAAAAAAAAAAAACAAAACAATATGGACTCCATTTTAGATAGCGATAGATGATAAAAAAAAATTGAACAAAGCTGATAAGGAAACAAAATGTATGGAGTAGGGGCGAGGCTTAGAAGTTTGAATAGGGCGATCAGGGAAAGAGTCACTGAGAAGGTGTCTTTTGAGAAAAGACTTGAAGGAAGGGAAGGAGGCAGCCAAGCAGACATCTGGGGAAGAGCATTCTAGGTATAAGGAGGCAGCATATCTAGGTTGTTTCAAGGACAGTGAGGAGACCAGAGTGGTTTAAGAGAAGTAAGTAAGACGTAGGGAAACAGGCTCTGAGTTCAGGGAGGAAATAGGAGACCAGGCTGTGCAGGGTCTTATAGATCCCTGGCTTTTCTCTGGGTGAGATGAAAGTTTTGGATAGAAGAGTGGTATAATCACTCCCTTAGATTATTAAGAGTACCATATTAAATTTTTGAAATCCGTATGTCAGTAGATTGTATTATTATTAATTTCATTAATACTTCAGGATACCACAAGTTTGTCACAAAATATTGATATTTAAAAGATGTGTTAGGTTGGAGAACCATTCCTCCACGTGGCAGGTCTGTAGCGGGGGCCAGAATTCT